GAAGGCCCGGCCCGGCCCCATGCGGACACCGGAATTGGCTGGAGCCGGGTTCATGTGGCTCCTGGTGCAGCCCCCCTCTGAGCCCCCTGCAGCTGCTCCAGCGCTGGGGGAGATGCAGTAGGAACAGACCTGCAATGATAGGCTCTAGGAGGTACACAAGTCCTAGCCATCCTGTCCACAGTGTAGGCCTGAAAGGAAGGGCACCTGATCTGGTCTCCTCATAAAGAGACTAGATATGCAGGTAGAAATGAAGACATAACCCACTTAGAAGCCAGGAAACATTTTTAGTCCATTTCTGAGTCACGAAGGTTCTTGAGCTGGAGCTGATGTAGGTTTATGGACATAATGGCAAATGACAAAGCTCTTAACCAAACACTGTCAGTCTTACAGTGCTTGAGGAGAGGAGCTATTTAATGTTGCTAGATAAAAGGGGTAGGGGAAAATCTTACTTGTATTTGAACTATACCTCTGGGCTCCCTAGAAGTGTAGGGATTTTCACTGGAACCAGTACAGGTTGGCTAATTGCAGTGGCAAGCAAATATGCCGCTAACATGGTGTGACCATCTTGTATGAGCTGCTTCTTTATATTTTTATGAACTGAAGAGTAACCATGGTGGTGTGGCTCTCCTGGACTCCTTGCCAAAACAGCTAAAGGAAGCTCCTCTGCCATATTTGGGTGTTTCAAAGCAGGAGAATGAATCCTTTGCTGCCTTCTGGCAGTCCCTGTAGGCATATAATGTCGTCTGCATGTGAACACGGCTCCCTTGAATCTAGAGTTTGGATTTTATCCTTTGCTAGATCTCTGGGCAAGGGGAAAACAAGTGCATTTTCTATCAGTGGTGAACGCTAGATGTCTGTGATAGACACTGGATTAAATCAAGAGCTAATAGACAAAAGTCCAGCTTTTGCCGGTTAAAATATATGAAAATAGCCCTTGGCTAGCCTGCTACACCAGCAGAAATGGACCAACCTTAATACATCACTTGTAGGTGGAGACGGCCTCTGAATACTAGAAAAATGTAAAACTGAAGTCTTCCCAGTGGACCTTTAGGGGAGATATGCATTTTATTTTTAACTCTTTCAGGTCTAATGCCAAGTCATGGTCACTGTTTAAGGTGAATAGAAGTATTGGCTTCCTGATGGAGAAATAGTTTGTTGGCTCTAGTTTTGACACCCTTTTAGTATTGGTGGTTTGGTTTGAGCTTGACACCATTGAAACTGAGCGAAGATGCCTAGTGATTTTTTTTTTTTTCTTTTTTAGAGCTGAAAGCAACATAATGAGGTTGCATAGTTCTAATTTTGGAAGAAATCAGAGGTGCAGATGTAAGTAGCAGATATTAGTCTTGCAACTGGCTTTGAGCTATGTAGCAACAAATGGTTGTAGTGGCTCCCCTGCCAATTCAGCAGTGTCACAACCTCTAATTTACAAAATGAGGAAACAAAACCCTTTGAATCCTGAGTAAAGATTCCAGTTAGTTTTCTGTATCTGTGGTACATCTTGTGACTCATTTGGTCACATGACTTTAAAACATGATCTGAATATTAAATGTCTAGGTCTCCATTGGAACAGTAATGGAAGATCTCTTTATGCTGGGTAGGAATGGTAGTATAGATGAATGGTAGAAATACCAGAGTGTTAACTGGTGCAGAAAGCAACTGCCATACTTGCAGTAAGGAGGAAGAGCTTGATTGAGTAGAGGAATTACTAGAGCTCTTGGGTAAAAGCTAGAGTGGGTAGGTGCAGTGGAGAGGTTCACGCACTTTGTATGGTGTAGGCCTAAGTATTAGAGTGGTCATAATGCAGGAGATGAATGAACCTTTGTATTACACAGCAACCTTGTAGTGTTACCTAGTGGCCTACTATCTTGAATGCCAAATATGGCTAAGTCTCTTGTCCTGTCATTGCCCCTCATAGGAAGATGGTGAACCTTTGGAAATAGTAATGTAGAAGTCTATCATCCTACACTAATTCCAGAACTCTGGAGAACTGCCAAGTCATGCTCCATCAGATGAGGTGAAGAATTGAGCCCTTTAGGCTGCTTAAAGGAACAGAAGCAGAAGAGAAGATTCTACAAACTGAATTGATTGAAGATGGTGGTTCCATTTACTTGAGTAGGTGTTGACAGCTTTCTGCTCCCCTCCAACTCAAAGAAATGCCCTCAGTGTTTCAGTTGGTCCCCACTTTGGAAGAGTGGGTGTTACCAGATCTTGAGGAAGAACCATGAAGCAATGACTTGAGCTCAGCTTCTTCAAATTGCAGTTTATGAAGTAGATGGGGAGGGAAAAATGGAGGATATGTTCTTCCCTGCTCAAACCATGTCTAACCTGACTTGCTTATATTAAGCATTCTCTTCATGAAGAACAAGGACCAAAAGTCCTTGGTTGTCTTGCATTTCATGGCTGTAATGGCTTAAATCCTAAAGCAGTGACTCTCAACCTGGGTGATGGAAAAATATTTTTAAGGGTGGTGCACAGCATTATCATTCTGTCAACTGTGTAATGCTAAACCCAGAAGTTTTTTGTTTTAAGTGGGAACCATTAGTGTCAAAAACAAAGACTGCAGCAGGTTAAAATGTTTTGGGTGGCTTTTTTTGTTTGCAATGAAAAAACATCACTTCCATACTCCCAAAAAAAAAAAAAAAAGTGAAAGCAAAGAAGTAGTTTTCCTGCAGGAGTCTAGTGAGGCTAAGAATCATTACTCGGAGTAAGAATTGAAGAGTTCCTCTGTAATTCTTGGTCTCAGTACAACATTGAGACCAATAATGGAAGCTTAGCTCAGAATTTTTTTCACTCTAAAGACGAGCAATATAAATATGCAATTTGAAGTTACTATACATCAAAAAAGGTTTGGGGACCTTATTGGTTATCACATAATCTGAGGAGGCTGGGTTGCATTTACTTAATCTTGTAACAAGCATACCAGTACAGAACAAACAGGTCTTTCTATCTCATTCTCTAGAGGCCTGGATTCTGACTAGATATTTGGAAATTGCTCAGGGCTGTGTGAGCACTATAATGTACAGTATTGTACAATATTTCAATTGCTTCACAAACCAGTTGCTGCAGAATAAGCCAGGCTCTGATTCTTCCGCTTGCTAGCTATTCAGTGGAAATTTGTGTATATGCTACGGTAAATGCAGTGTAAGTTGCCTTGCATTTATTGAGGAATTGGCTACCACATGCTTACTAGCAGATGGTAGTTAATGCAGTGTAGAGCTTCACCATGCTCTTTCCTAGCTGAGTGTGGCTGCCACTTCTGTTACTGACATTAGGGGTTTTGTCTTTTGGTTTGTGTTTTTTTTTTTTAAACTGTATTACCTTGGTCATAGGTGACCTGTTATTGAGTGTGCAGGTTTTAATACCTCTTTGGTCTGCAATGCTATGTAGCACATCTAACTGGAGATCTAACATTGCAGTGTCTTCTGACAACACTTGTTTGAATGTTTAATTGAGTTAAAGCAAAGCAGACTTAGAGGCAAAGAGCTAAAAATCAGTTTGGGTAGGCAGTGTCTTTAAGATACTGCATAAAGAATTGTTCAGTGTCTGTTACATTCCCTCTGAGTTAGACTCCCTAACTTGAGTAAGCTGTATGTACTATCTGTTTCTTGGTCGGCTCATATTTCAGAGCCCTCTGTTTCTACTAAACATGTTTGAGATGTATTCTGTCCTAGCTGGCTTGATGTGGAAACAGAACTGCATAAAGTCACTTGTTTTGGTTTTGAACACTAATGTCTGATGATGGTAAACAGGTAGCAGGAACTTGTTCTAGTCGGCTAGTACCATTGTGATCACACAAAGCATCTGACTGCTGTGACCTTGGATATCTCCAGTGGCTTGCTTATTGGTGCACAAGTCACTCTTTGTGGTTTAAATAGGTTTTTTTTGGGGGGTTTTTTTGTTTTTTTTTCTTTCCAATGTGTAAAACATGGGTGGCTCAATGTCAGGTGCTTCTGAGTGGTCACATTATAGAATCTTTTCCATGTAATGATTCTTCCATATCCGAAAATGGAGAAGAACAGCATCAAGGCAAGAGCAGTCTCATACTGCATGGAGGCTAACTAGTGACATTCTGGAGAGATTCCATATATGATACTTTCAGTCTTATTCCTGGCCAGGCTTGGCATTTCAAGGCCTTGAAATCAGGCATGGAACTAATCCCATATAGTGTTGGCTAAATGTATGTCTTTTTTTTTAATATGGCACCATGCAGGCAGCTGGATGATCTCTAAATAAAGAGATTTGTCAAGTATATTTTAGATAAGCTAGTCTTGTCCTTGTTCCCATTTCTCCCTCCTCTTCTTCTCTCTTTCCCCACCCCCCCCCTTTCAAATCACTGCTGCAAAACTGCTACATCTTTCTGTGGGACTTTTTAGCTGTCATAGAATTGGCTGCTGGCTAAATGACAACAAATAGTCCTGTCTCAGACTTGTCAAGTGACTTCTGGCAGTACTGCATGTGGTGCATCCTGTGTCTCTTAAATTTGCTGAATCCACAAATTTAGCTGCATGGGCATGTGATTGTAATTAAGTAGGTATCTTTTTCTGGGCTGTTGTACACTTCTGCTTTTCATCTTGTTGAAGGGGTAACGAATGCCTTGTACCATTATGAGGGAGTAAGGGTCTGTAGCTGACTCTGTTCCTTTATCTATTAGCCAAGTAAGTGACAGAGCTAGTTGCGTACTTGAACCATTGCATATCGACCTAATACTGTGTGATATAGTAACTAGCAAGTGTGGAAAGGGCAAGCAAATACAGGAAGGGCATGTTACAGCTGCACCTGCAATAGGTTGATTCAGCATTAAAAGCAAAATGTCCATATTGTATGCAAAGTAGACTGGCTACCATCTTAAATTTAAGTTCTGAATGCCCCAACAGAGGAGTGGGCCTACACATTGCCAAAGGTCCATCTTCCCTTCCATTTTGTTGGTTGTTTTGATAAATCAGTGAGGCAGAAATGCAAACCTCGGAGGTAAAGTTTGCTGCCATCATGGGGTAGGGGGGTACAGAAGAATAGAAGTTGCTCTTTCCTGAGTCTTTGAGATTTCCATTTTGACCAAACTTAAGAGGGTGCTCTGTCTTTATCCTTTTAACTTCTGAAGTTGCTATCCCAATCTAACTGTTGTCAGTATTGTTGTTGCCTTGATTTTTTTTTAGAGCTTCCAGAGCACTTGCAATGCTGTAAGTGAAGGGCCCTGAGTTCCAGTTGTCTTGGGTTATGATGCCTCACTTAACTTAATGCAGCTTGCTTTCTCTCTTCTACCCAGAAATGAAGCTTCCTTCTTATGACTGTCCACAGACCTTCAGCTTCAGTCTCCTTTCCCTAGACCAGGAGTGGCTAACCTGCAGCATGAGTGCCATGTGTGGCACACAACTGATCAGGGAGGGGACAGAAAGCACCACAGCAGATGGGGAAGGAAGAAGAAGGCAGAGCAGGAGATCAGGCAAGGAGCACAAATAGGGAACAGAAAGCTAAGCATAGATTGGGCAGAGGAAGTGCATCAGTGTGGCTCTCGGAGGGCATGAGGCTAACCTAGCATACCGGCCAAAAGAGTTGGGGCCCCACCGCCTAGACAGAAAGCCATGTTCTCTTCAACTGAATAGATCAGGGGTAGGCAGCCCCTTTCAGCTGTGGGCCACAATGGCCCATGGTAGGTCAGGGGCAGATGGCCTACCTGTCCTCTAAAGGATTACTTGCTGTAACTTTAATGGAGTAAAACGTCTTGATATAACATCTTTTATCACTAGGACACTTAGCTGAACAGAAATTCAGCTTTAGGCATTGGCTAAAAAGCAGTAAGACCTATAAATAACAACAAATTGGAATAAATATGGAGACTAAGCTAATACTCTGACTTCAGGATGGGGCCTGTGGGGCCCAAACCTGTTGTTGGAAAATACTACTCCTGAAGCTAGAACTTACTTTTTCAGCTTTAAGCTTATACCTTGCCTATAGTAAGGCTTTTGATATTGTCTCCCACAGTAGTCTCGTGATGCACTGTAAAGTGAACTGAAAACTGGCTGGATCATCCAGCTCAAAGGGTAGTAATCAATGACTCTGTCTAGTTGTCAGTAAATGGAATACCCCATGGGGTTGGTCATGGGGCTAGTTTTTATTCAGTGTATTCATCAACAACCTGGAAGATAGGATGGACTGTGCCTTCAGCAAGCTTTCTGGATTGCACCAAGATGGAAATAGTAAATATGCTGGAAGGTAGGGCTAGGGTTCAGAGAGACCTAGACAAATGGGAAGATTGGGCCAAAAGAAATCTCATGAAGGTCAGTAAGGCCATGCGTGAAGTCCTGCACCTAGGATAGAACAGTCCTGTGCACTAGTACAGGCTGGAAACCAACTAGTTAAGCAGCAGTTCTGCAAAAAGGGGCCTGGGGGTTACAGTGGACAATATTCAGGAATGAACCAAAAATGTGCCCTTCTTGACAAGAAGGCTAATGGCATACTGGGCTGCATTAGTATAAACATTGTCAGCAAAACGAAGGAAGTGATTATTCCCCTCTATTCAGCATGGTTGAAGCCACCACATCTAGAATACTTTCACCAGTTTTGAGGTGGGGGGGCACTACAGAAAGGATGTGAATATATTGGGGAGAGTCCAGTGGAGAGCAGTAAAAATGATTAGGGGGCTGGGGAACTGGATTTATTTAGTCTGGAGAAGAGAAGACTGAAAAAGGATTTAATAGCAGCCTTCAACTACAGGTAATCCTCAGACTTATGGCACAACTCGTTCCTGAAATTCGCGCATGAAGTCAAAACGTCATAACTCGGAACCAGCTTTCCCACAGGAGCAATGTTTTATAAAAGGGGGATTGGTTCCTTTACCATGCTCGAACCAGCTGGAGGCAGCTGGTAAGTCTGGGGGCGGGAATCAAAGCTCCTGCAGTGGGGGAGGGATTGGGGCTGGGGCAAAAACTGCCCAGCTGGGGCTGGGAGAAGGTGGGGCAGCTCCCACTGCTGCATGCCGCTGGTCTGGGAGCAGCTCATCCGGCAGCTCTTGCTGCTGCTGCCGGTATTTGGGGGGGGCACGGCAGCATGCGCCCCCAGGTGGGTACAGGGTAGGTGGGGCCAGGCCGCACTCCAGGTGGGTGGCAGAAGGCACTGGGAGCAGGTGCTATGCCCTCCTGCCACTCACCCAGCTGGGGTGGGGTGAACCCACTGCACTATCTCCAGACAAGCAGTGTATAGCAGTGGGAACTATTCCAGCCTCCCTGTGCCTCCGCGGATGAGCAGCAGCTTCATCCTGCCCTGCCCCTGGCTGGGTGAGTGGCAGCAGGGCATTTGGTGGGGGTGGGGCGGGAAAGGGAACATGTGCTGCCAGGGCAAGTGGGGCCAAGACTGTCCTGGGTGGGAGGCTATGGGGGAGCTGTAGTGAATTTTAGGGTAGCTGTAGCCCCCACTCGAATTGGGGCAAGGCAGGCAGCAGAGGTCGCATGCTGCCCACCCTGCTGCCGCTCTCCCGGGGTAGAGGGGTGCAGGATGAAGCCTCTGCTTGTCTGAGAGGCCAGGGTGGTTCCTGCTGCTGCACATCTGGAGGCAGCACAGCAGCTCTGCTGCACCCTGGCTAGGCGAGCAGCAGGAGGGCAGTCACAGTGGGAGTTGCCCCTCCCTGCACTCCCCTGATGAGCAGCTCATGGCTTAGTCCTGTGCCTGTCCTGGCTGGGCAGTGCCTGCTGCTGCTGCAGCCCCACTTCATCCCTCACTGCAGGGACCTTGATCTACCCTCCCCATGCCCCTTCCCTCAAGAGACTTACAAGCTGGATGCTGCTCTCCAAGCTGCTGGACTGAACTCCTAGCCGCATGCATGCTGAGGCTGCACCCAGATGCACAATATGTATTGGTGACATCGGCCACAACAGCCAAAAAAAGCCAATTGTTGATGATGTAATTTTTTTTTTCCTTTTATCAGTGCTGATGTAATATGCACCAATGTATTGGTGTGCACACCTATTTAAAACCCTTTGTGATAAGTGCATAAGGGAAGGCATGGCAGACAGATCCAAAGTGGACAGTCAGAGGGCCTTATTTGCCAAGGGCGCTCAATCTCTAACTTGCTAGGGAACATGGCTTTGTAGCTGACTCGCATTTTTTGTGACCTGGTTAACCTAAGCCTGATACCATCTCCATACTAATACTTCTGGTTTCAAGGCTTGGGGACCCAAACTTTGTTCCAAAAGCTTGTTGAAGTCTATCCCAACCCTATAGCTGTTCAATCCTTGTCTCGCATTCTCCTCCTTCTTCTTTTTGGTGGAGGGGGTGCAGTGTCTGTTCTAGGTCCTAGTGTTCTAGGCTTCTAGGTAGCTTGGAACCAAAGATGCTGACTACTTGACTTTTCTTCATCCTTTTTGTTGTGCTTTGGTCCCTCTAGTAACTTTTACACATATTTGAGGATGTGTTCACCATGAGTTTGAATTATGCTTAATGTTTGCTTTGCAGTTGAGTGCAAAGGAGGAGCTGAAGAGTATTGACCCACTAGCCTTTGATAGCCTTCTATCTCTCTTCATGCCAAATGTCTGTATTCTGGGTCAAGTCCTAAAATAATCGGTGCTAATTCAGGCATGTCATTCATTTTACAGAAAAGATGAAGCTTGGTGCAACCTCTGTGACTTGAAGTCATGACTTGCAGTAAAGGGGCATTTGGTTAGGGAGCAGGCAGCTACAAGAAAGGAACTAAGAGCATATGCAAATTGGTATGCACCTTTAACCTACTGGGTATGTTTCTCACAAGCAGATGTATACTGGCTGCTTAACCTGTATTTTAAGTGACTAGGCAGCTTATCACAAACACTTTCCCCTCTGTCAGGGAAACTAATTGATGCAGTATGGTGGTGAATAGTGATTTGACCTGTTCAGGAAGATCCTTGCTTCTGAGGCAGAATTAAAGAAGTTGGACTAAACAAGTTTTGAGATGGTGTTTAAAGGAATCTTGGTGCCTTGCCCAACTCTTAAACTATTTCTCTTCTACACCAAGGATGCCTACTCCTGGTTTCCTAGAATATGGAATAAAGTTAGCTTTACCTGTTGAGTGAAACATTGAATGTGGCCAAGAGGTAGCATAGCCTGCTGTTGGACACTTACCTGGTATCTGCTTAAAACCAAACAAACAAACAAAAAAACAGCACTTCTGTACAAAAGGTGGTACAATGTTTTTGCAAGGGTGCTCCTTAGTGTAAGGAATGGCTAACTGAAGTCTTGAGTTATTCATATGCATATCTATTAGAATAACATAGTACATGCCCCTCCTAAACACTGGATTGCTTTTTAAGTTTGCAGGATTGATCAGACTGAAACATGGGGTTGAGTATTAGTGTCTTAACTTTACAGGCAGTCCCTGCTTAACGCTGTTTCACTTAGTGCAATTTTGCTATAATGCTCACTTGAAATTGATACCTGATTTCACTTGGTGCTCAGTGAGTTTCATTATAACACTCATGGTTGCCATTTCGGGTCATTTAAAAACAATGGCATTTGCCATCTTGGGTTGTCAAATGCTTTCAGTTTTACTTAATGCTCAGTTTTTCAAGAACCAATTAAGAGTGCTAAGTGGGGGTTACCTGTAATGCTTTGTCCATCTCCTTCCTCCCCCTTAAACTCACTTAAGTTCACATGCAGCTGATAACTGTTCCCCAAATCTTACAGATACTAAGAAAATGGCAGTGAATTACTAGGATTATGCCCATGAGGTCCTATATTTGTAATGTTTTTTTGTCTAATGGGGAGCTCCAAGGCCACATCTTACTACTTTACTAACTGGTGGATAATGGGTACACACTTGACCTGCTGTTGTCAACCAGTATATGTGCTTTGCATAAAGTGGCAGGGCTAGACCATCCCAGTCCTTGTGCTTTTACATTGTAATGGGTAACAAATTAGATAATCTTAGAATTACAAAAGTATTAGGTTATTACAAGGGCTAAACAGTAAAGTATCTGGCTGAGTAGTATTATAACAGCACAGGCAATAAAGGCTCTTCAGTTAAACACTTACATATATTAAAGTTCTTCAGGAATATAGTTAACTTCTATATATAGCTTTCAATCTATTCTGTTGAATTCCGTAGTTGCAAAGAGAATTCTTTCAAATACAAACTTGATATTCTTGACTCTGAGGCAGCCAAGGGGGAAATCTCTTGGCAGATTCTCAAGACTTTGAGTCATTATAACTTTGGCCTTCTCAAACTAGAGGCGGACAGGACTAAACTGATTGGTGCTCATTCTTCTCTTGAGTAAGAAGCTACTGTAAGTAATCCTGACCATATTCTTCTTGTCCAAGTAGCCAGTACACCCAGGGGGCCTTGCCCAGATGAGCACACGCGCATTTCCCTGGGGACAAATAGCAGTAGCACAGTATGAGCTGCTATTCCTTGTCCTCAGGCACGGTCTGTGCACACATGCTCTGGTGTGTGGCAAGTTGCCCTGGGTTGGGTTAGGG